ATATCACTTAGGAAAACTCATAACTCTCAAATGTTTGAACTCTCAATTTTATAATGCTTAACTTATGCCAGGACCACCTTTTATATAGGGAATTTGGTGAGGAAATGGAAAAAGCTTCGTATCATTGCAAATCTGAAATTGAACTATGCATTTACGCCTGAGCCAATTTTTCTTTGCATTGCTCACATGTAGCCGACCTATATCCATCACCTCTGCTACACATTTTGTCAAAATGATGGGANGACTTGTCAAATCCCAAAATTGTTTCTTCCATCAAATTTCTCCACCTCGAACTTATAATTCGAGATCTTTGGAAGTTTCGTCGCCATGACTTTAAAACTTGATTTGGTGAGGTCCAAAAAAAAAAAAACTAGTCCAGAAAATTACTATTCCTTAAATAGTACTATAAATAGTACCAGTGAATAGTACTGTGTGAACAATACACCATATATACAGTACCGTATGAATAATATTCGTGTATAAATAGTAACCAGAATTGGTACTGGCTCTAATATCAATTTGTTGCGAAAATTACCCCAAGAATCGAATTTGGACCGATATTGACGCTTACACTCAAGTGAAAAAATAAAAGAACAATCACACAAGACAAAACAATTTATGTGGTCCGGCAATTGCCTACATCCATGACAACAACGATTGGATGTTTTCACAATTTTGAGTAAATAGAGATTACAAGAACAATTGTTCCAAACTTCACAAGTACTCACTCCAATATGATCACTCTGATATCTCACTGGTATCACTCACAAATCTGAGGACACCCAAATTGATACCTAATATCACTTAGGAAAACTCATAACTCTCAAATGTTTGAACTCTCAATTTTATAATGCTTAACTTATGCCAGGACCACCTTTTATATAGGGAATTTGGTGAGGAAATGGAAAAAGCTTCGTATCATTGCAAATCTGAAATTGAACTATGCATTTACGCCTGAGCCAATTTTTCTTTGCATTGCTCACATGTAGCCGACCTATATCCATCACCTCTGCTACACATTTTGTCAAAATGATGGGACCCCTATGTTCATGCTGCAGCCTTGTCGTGGCTTTCTTACCAAAAGTTATTGGCAACATTAAAGGCTTTGTGCCAAAAAGGCCACAAAGTCAACAATCTATTCAACTAATTATTAATCCAAGCGAACTCCATTGGCTATCTACATTTTATTCATAATCAGTCCGTGAATAATTATCATTAGTGCAATTCATTACCAATTACAATCGGATAATCAGACCGTGAGTAATTATCATGACTGAAAATCACATTCTTCAAATCATGCATGAACAGAATTTTCTCGTGAATATCAGATAGCTGGAGAAAAAGAGCAAGTGAGTTCATCTGGGTACAAGAATGATGATCCTTTTGTTTCTGTTTCTGACCGTGAGGAACATGAATGTATTCAATCTTTCTGGAAGCCAAGGACATGGGGTAGGAAGACATCTTGTTGGGTTTCTGTATTACTTAGATCTCTTTATATTTAAAATATTATACACAGACCCTCTACTGTTTGTACAACACTTAGACTCATGTTGTTAGTATATCTATTAGTAAAATACACTCAGATCTCCTAAAATTTATAGACATGTAACATTCAGATCTCTCAAATTTAAAATATTATACATAAATCTCTTATTTGTTACGGAACTGACACATATATATTATGTCAATTATAGTTTTTTTTTTGATCCAATATGTCAATTATAGTGTAACCTCTTGTTTTCTTTATATAGTTTTATTCTAATAGAAAATATAATTATATGTATGCAAATGAGCATTGAATTCATGCGTTCTTTGAGATATTTATACTAATTACTATTTTTTTCTCAAAAAAATTAGAATTTTGTTTAGTTTTTATATTAATGGATGATATAATAGAACATCAAATGTGTTGATTAAGCTTATTTCATATATTCGTACTTGATGATGAAAAAATTAAATCAAAGTGAAAAGTTCATTTAGTCTAAGTACAACCCATCTTGTCAAGAGTTCTACTTTGAATAGGATGCTACATATCATGAAAAAGTGGATTTTTATTTTTGATTTTATTTCAATAAATGACATAATAGACATGAATTTTGATTGTAAAATTTAAAATATTTTATATTTTATATTTAATTGTAATATTTTAAACTTGAGGTGTACAAATATTATACGCTTCAAATTTTAGAAGTCTTGATATAATTTACTAACGAATACATTAACATGCATTAACGACAGGAGTTTATATGTTATGCGCGTATAAATTTTAAGGGGTCTGTATATAATATTTTAAATATCCGTATTCTAAATGATTAAATCACAAACTTTAGACGATTTATTTATAATTTTCCCTTGTATTTATGTGGCCGATTTCAAAAGAATTAGCACAAAGACTCAATTGAGTTGTGTATTGTGAATTGAACTTGCTCACCTGAATCTTTATCTATTAAGCTTAAGAACATGGGATGATATTTTGAAAAATAATTGAAGGCAAATCTTATTATACCCATGTGGTTAAGTCCCTTTGCACGTCATCCCCTACTTTCAAAAATAATTGCACAACCAATTAACCATCATAGGATTTATGGATTAATCCACCATTACACTTGGACACCCTAGCCGAAATCCCAATTTGTCAAATTTGGACCGGTTCTTGCAATAAAAGTAGCCGACTGAGTAGAACATTTATTGTTACCTCATCATACCTTATCATGCTTATAACTAAAATTGCAACTAATTATTTCTAGCATTTAGGTCGTTTTTCTCTCTCTAAAAGAACTTACTCGCAAAAGGGCCCATGGTGCAAGTAGTTTTGCAGCTAAAGTATATCAAATAGTCTAGGGTGCAATTCTACTACTTTTTTTGGGTTCTTTGTTAGTCATACACTTATTAAACAACTATTCAATAACTATGCGTTCTTTCACAAGCTAACAAAATCGACATTAGTGCACCTAAGAATGTATTGATTGTATATATAGGGGTGATCATCAACGCCAAATATGAGACTCGGTGGCTAACTTAGACTCTAGTGGTCACTCTTACATTTGTTGCTAGGCCAATCAATGAATTAGATTCTGATTCGAATCCGAATCCGAATAACAAGATATAAATTAATATATTTTACAGATAATATGAACCCGAATTTGAATCTGATATTTTATATTTTATGGATTCGAATTTGGATGTACTTATATCCCATTTGATTATGATCTGATCCGAATTATTTATATATTTTTATATAAATTAAAGGAATTAAGTGATTATTTTTAAAAAATAATTATAATTTAGGTATAATTTGTTAAAATATAATTAATTAAATTATTTGGATCAGGTCAAATTTCAAGTTATTAACAAATTCGAATATTGACTACAGAGATAAAATTCATCGAATTATCGAATCAAATTTAAATTTACCTTCTAAAATCAAATTTCAATCCGTCAAAATCCAACCCGTTGATACCCCTATTTGTTGCCTTCTAAAACTGCAAGACAACCAAGGCGTTGCTTGTATAGTTATACCCTGTAACGATATATCCACGATCAATCGGTTTATTATCTCATCGTCATGAAATAGGTGCCATGGTTCAGTAGTTAAAATAACTTGATAACTTTCCCCTTTTCTTTATACACAAGAATATATCAATATTTATATTTGTGTGCGTGTGTCTGTCCCACACGTCTGTTTGTGGGCCCAACCCTCTTAAAACAATCGGTGCATCTGTCCACTTGTCGGGGCTAGGGCTATCCCACATCGGATAGCCTTAGAGTTGAGTGTGTGTATAAGGCCTTTTACAGTTTTCACTTTTAAGTGAAAGTTTCGGAGTGGTTTGGCGTCTTTTATCAAAAGAATATATCAATATTTTTGATTTAACCCCTAAACTAGAGTAAAATATTAGATGTGATAGTTACACTAACAACAAAAGTTATTTTAACTACTCAAAAAATAATATTTTTTATTTTAGCTACTCACCTTTTAAAATACAATCCAACATATTTTCTATATTTTTAACCACTCATTTTAAATATTATTTCTCATTTCTTTTGTATTTTTTTTTTTGGAAATAATGAAAAGAGAGAGAATAGAGTAAAGGAGAGGAAGAGAGAGAAAATATTATAATTTTTTTTATATATCGCGACAGTGATATTCTAAATATAGATTATTACTGTAGCAAAATATTATTTTAAATGTTTTGAAGATAATCTATTGAAATAAAATTTTTAGGTTAAATAGCTAAAATTTGAAAATTTTGTGTCCGGTAAACATCTGTTAGAGATGCTCTTAAAAGTACCACGTGATGTAAACTTCCAATAGAAAAATTATAAAATGTATAAAATAGATCCCACTTACTTACATTGAGACGCATATGTATTATATGATGGTTATGTATTATTTGACTGGGTGGTTATGAATTTTTCTTAGACTCTTGCAAACTTAGTCATGTCATAGTGGACGATTATATCACATGACACTACTGACTTAGTGTAACCCTTATACCCAATATTTTCTCTTCAACCATGACCCTAATTTCACTTTGCTAAGTTAACTATTGAGTTTTTTCTTATCATATTCGTCCATCAACTACTTGAATTAGCCGATCACATTACCCTCTCAATTGTTTGAATTTATTTCTATTGCAAACCAAAAATCCATCATTTTTTGGATGAAAAATGTCCAAATCTAAAGTAAAATACACTTTGTTAATGGCTATAATTGGAGTAATATCATAGTTACAAGTGTAATGTAGAAATAGTAATAGTTGAGTGAGCAATATGAAACAATATATTTTCTAAAAACATTGTATCTTTCACAACTACTAGAGATGTATAAACATGACAGTTAATCAACACACTACGGGTAAAACAGAGACCACCCAAAGACAATCAATAGACAATCTGCAGAGTGATAGAAGATAAAAGCATCCAAAGAGAGGTATGAAAAGACCTGGTTGACCTCAGAGAAGAGAGAGAGAGAGAGAGAGGTATTAAGCGTAGAATACTTGGAAGTCATCAACAAAACTAAGTGAAAAGAATCACATTGCAGGTAACTTACATATTAGCTGGCTGCAGAGTTCACCCCAACTATACCCACAATTACAAACTTATACCCACCTCTCTCAATAGATAAAAACCATTTTTCCTTATGTACATCACCCCCAGCAATAACACAAGGAAAAAAAAGAAACAACAAAAAACAAAAGGTTGTAAAACCTACCTAACCTTCCTTTTCCTTGTCCACCCTATACCAATCTTTATTACTTCAGATATCTAAGACAGGACTAATATTGACAGCCCAAACCCTTCTGCTTATCTCTCTAATTTATACCCAACCCCAAAACATATATAGCTGTGATTCAAAGATAACAAAACAGGCCTACATTACCTCGGCCTGGGTGGTGATGCAAATGACCTAACTGGTCGAACAGGCCTCTGAGCTGATGGACTACCCAATAAAGTAGCCTGAGACCTACCAAGCATCTCGAGCATTGATGGGGTTTGATAAGCTTGAACAAGACTCGACCCGTCTGTAGAGTCACCTCGAGCTGTGGCTCTCTGCCATGAATGTGAGCTCAATCCTGACAGAATATATGCCCTCCCTGATGCTTCATACACATGCCTGCTTGCCATCCTCTCTTGCATTTCCTTGAGCTCAGCATCCAATGCAACACAGAGCCGATCATGAGATTTAGATGATACACTTTCGGACAACACCCTTCTGCAGTTTTCAAGGATAGAAATTGCACCCTTCAGGTCTCCCTGTTCAGCAGCCGTTTGTGCTTGTGCCATTGCCTCAGCTGCTTGGAGCCTGTTGCGTTGCCTGTCAACTTCTATCGACTCTACCTCTTGCCCAACTGTTTCAGTTCTCTTAATCCTAACCTCTTCACTTACTAAAGTGACCATTTCTTTTGTCAAGGGATCATTGTAAACACATCTCACCTTTAACAATGATGTTTCACTGCTTGAAAACTCAACTGGGACATTGATTGAAACAAGAAAATCCTTCATCTCATCAGCGTATAAATCTCCAACATCAATGAATCCAGCGCGCCCATCAGACATCACACGATTGGGGTAACTTCCTGCTTTTAAAGAGCCAAGGCAGAGACTGGGGTGCACACACTCTATACTCACTTGCAAATCCTTGACCACGACACTCAAAAGCCCCCCAATGCACTGTGCAAATGCATCTTGGATCACACCTTCGCTCTCAATGAAAGAAAATGTCCCTCCAGAATTCTCTGAAATTGAGTGCATCGATGAAGCATCATGATCAGTACCAAACCCAAAAGCATGTACTGGAATCTTAGCACCTGAATTGTTTTCGCTGTGAATAGACAGAGGAAGAAGCAACTGGTAATTTGGTTGATGTTTACTGCCAAAAGAACCACTGACAGTATATGTGTCCTGCCCATCAGACAAAAGTATTATACTGGAAACTGGGTTTTTTTCCCTTCGGTCTTCTATTACCTTAGCACCCTTTCTCAAGCCTTCAGCAATGTTTGTCCCACCATTTGCAACCAGAGAGTTAACAGCTTGCAATGCCTGCTGTCTTCCAGCATCGGACATCCTTCGGAGGGGGAAGAGGCGGCGGGCCGTTGATGAGAAGGCAATGACTGCCAGCCTGTCATTGGAACCAAGATTCTGTATCACAAACCCCATAGCTCGCTTAAGCAAAGCAAGCTTGGTACCTGCCATGCTGCCGCTGATGTCAAGAACCGTGACAAGATCAACTGGAGCACGAGCAGTTTGAGAAATGTTGGGCAAGTTAGCCTCATTTCTAGTGGGATTTTGTTCTGAAAGTGAAATAGGAGCTTCGAGATGGATCAGGACAGCAAAGTTATCAAAAGCATTGAACCGTGGGACCGCTTGAACTTCTGGGTATGTTTTGATCTTCATTGTTCTGAGGGAATCGTTATCTGAAGCATTCTTATTTGAGAAGCTTATCTTGGCAAACTCAGATTGATGATCTAAGGATTCATCGTCATTGAAGACAGCTGGCTCGGGAGCCGGAAGTATTGTTGTGTGCCGATTTCCATTTGCAGGAGGAGGAGGGAGCCGGCGAATTACAGCCATCAAAGCATCATTTTGGGGCCAATTTACAGGATTGACTCTAGCCCTTCCCAGGGGATGATCTAAACTGGGAACCTGCAGAGGAATTTCTTTCCACTTTGCTCGGCAAACTGGGCAAACTTGGTTGCCATGTTTTACATTCGATGCAATACAGTGGAAATGGAAGGAATGTGAACATTCTGCAGTGAAAATAGCATGACCGTCCCCAGACTTCATTGTAGCCAAACATATTGAGCACGTCTTCTGAAAGTTCAAAAATAAATGCAAGCGAGAATAGTTATTTACTTGACAATTGGTACAATATATCTGACTTATTCAGGTACAGAACTACTCAATATGCACACAAACAAAGAAAAGCAAAGATTGTGCACCGGGTTGTATCAGCAAGATTAATTAGATTACAAGAAATATATTATCTAGTTTCTTAGGTACGTTTTACACTCCGTAACATAGCCGAAAAGAGTTAGCAACATGATTAAGTGCCAGGGGCAGCAATAAATTAGCACAAAATGATGTAAGTACCGGCACAATTAGAACTGAAGTTCAAGCACATGATTGAAAATTCAAACCAAGTTCCAATTTGGGGAAATTTAGAACTAGCCTAAACGTGTGCCACTGACCACATCTCTAAGTAAACAATTGCTTGAAAATTAACATCGCACTCAAAGTTCTGGAAGATATAAAGGAACTTATGTAATATATCTTACATTTTCAATAAAATCACATACATAAAACCAACTGAAAGAAAGAGCATCTTAAAAGTCTCAAATGCAGAACAATCTATGCTCTGCAGTTGTAAAAGTGGGGACGTTGGAAGAATATTTAGACAACTAAGGGTTTCTCATACACAAAACTATTTCCAATTTTTTCAAAATGATATTAGTTATGGCATTCGATTTATTGCACTTCCTTTTTAAAGATTGACATATGAATAAAAAGACGATTTCACCAGGCTCCTTTGGAGGATCTTTGCAGCAAGGATGATGAGTGTGTAATTTATCTCGTAGAGATCATAGAGAAAAGAACTACATGAAAAGTAAATAATAAAAAGAAGTTGATGCAAACTCAGCTCAAAAAACAGAGAGAAAAGATCAAAGGTTTGGTCTTCTCAGCATGAAGGATGTATCAGGAAAAGAAGCAAAATTGTTTAAAACATATCTAGAAAAAGGTTTGAAAGCTGGTAGACAGAAAAATCAAAAGCTCGAAACCACTCTATCAAAGGAATGGGAAAAATGGATTCACATTAGATTTTTCTATACAGTTTACCTTTCCTTGTATATGATCAGTCAACAAATGAGGCCATAAAACAAGCTACTTTTCACCCCAAAGGAAAGGTAAACCTGTAGCCTCCACTAACTATTAAGGCAAAATGATTGGGGTTCTGAAAATGACTTCACATGAAACAAGAAATGAAAGAGTGTAATTATCTTTTTACCTAACAAATTGATTAGAAAAATTAAGGTAATTTTAGTAGAAGAAGAAATCATAAAACAATTGTATATCACAATCAACATATTACTGAGGTAACTGGAGATATTTTCAGGTCACATGAAAGACCAATTTTCCAACAAAATCATTGGAACGCAAAGACACAACAATCTTAAATCTTATGTTTTCTATTAGCTATTGCATAAAATAAATCAAAAACCCAGATCAAAACAAAGACTAATCAACGATTAGGGATGGTTCAATGATTGAACCCCTTGATAACCAAGAGGTCTCACGGTCAATCCTTTCCAACACCGTTAACCACCCTCGTTCCTAATATGCTGCCACGGTCACTGAGCGACAGTCTTAGTTGTCGCAAAAAAAAAAAGACTAATCCAACTAATTAGTGACGCTGCTTAGTTATCATTTTCATTATTTTTGAAACAAAATGAAGAATGAAACTTCAATATTGTAATCTATTTTGACCACCTCACTAAATCACAACCTTGATAGAATCACATTGATTAGCACAAAATACTCAGTTTCGTTGATTTTCTGTTATTTTCCTCCATTTTCTCGGCTACCAAACAAAGTCACAAGCTGAAATAGACACAATACAAACCTTAGATGATCTGCTGAAACTCTTAGACAACCTTAAACCACGCGACGATGGCGTTGGCGTCATCGGCATCGCCGGAGAAACCGACGGCGAGAGCAAAGCAGCATCAGAGAGTCTCTCTGATGGAGGCGGCGAGTCATCTACAGCTCTAGGAACATACGCACACAGATTCAAACCAAGCGCCAGTTTTGCTTTCCTCCATTTGCTTCCCATTTCAGAAACACCCACAAGCACAATCTCTAAGAAGAAGCAGAGTAGATCTTGAAATGCAGAACAGGTTTTAGAGAGAAGATATTGTTTTAGATAGAGAGAGAGAGCGAGTCGTAGTGGAACACGAAAACCGAGAGGCTGTCGAGAGAGAAAGCTATGTAGAAATGGGTTTAGTGTGGAAGGTTAAGACGGCAAATAAGAGGACTGAGTGGTACATCCGAGCCAAAGAAGTGGTGGGTGGTTGCTTTACTCTTCTTCTTGGCGGCCATTAATGTGTGCGGTGTGTGAGAGAGAGAGAGTTGAACTGGAATAGAGATGGTGTTGTTCTGTTTGAGTTTGACCTTTGTTTGTTCAGAGTAGTGAAAAGTACATATACACAAATGTCGTGGCTCGTGTGAGTTCAAGTGAGAGAACATGAGAATTTGTAAATCTTTCTATGTTCCTGAATTGCCCTTGGTTTTTTTTTTTTTGAATTGTTTTTTGGTCACATCATTTATCAAATGGATCGGACCTCTATATGGGCTAAATTATTACACCCACTAAAATACTTTTCTTGTTTAAAAAATAATTCTACTAGCCTTAGAGGTCTCCATGGGCTTGGGCCGGAGTAGACACGTGAAATTTTTTTTGGATTGTGTTTGGATAGCGTAAGTCCAAATCCTTATCTAAGTGTGTTATTGGACGGGTCAGACCGGACTTCGGATAAGAATAAGTTACCCTCAGCCCAACCTGAGAGTCTATTAGGAGGACTTGTGGGTGGGCTTGTTGGGCGAGTCTGTTCGCGGGATTTTTTATATATAATTTTATTTAAAAATAATAAATATTTTATAACTTAATATTTGTGTAAATTATATTTTTGAATAAAAAAATAGTATTAAAATGGATAAAAATAAAATAATGAATAATTTTATTTTTAATTAGAAGATGAACTACATCCAATATAATTAATATATCACAATTAGGTTGACACTTACTCACTTATCTATCATTTGCATTACTCTACCCTTTAAAACTTCTACGCTTAATACATGAAAAATAAAATAATATATTATTTATAGTATCTAAATTTTTAAAACTTGAAATTCTAACATCGGGAGACTTATTTCAAAATTTCAAATTTAATGGTTTAAAAGTTAAAAAAAAATTCAAAGGAAGAGTAGGTGGGCTATATGGGCAGGTTAGGCTTGGCAGGCGGGCTCTTGGGCCGGACTTCAAGCAAGGTAATGGGTTTAGGGGCAAACGCAAACCCTATTTTTAACGATATTAGGTTCGAACTTGGGCGGCCCAATTGTAAGTCCTATCAAATTTTAGACCTATTTTTTTTGGGAAGTCGTGCATAACCTGGTTGATGAACACCCCTAGCTACCCTCTCAAATTTGTTCAGTAATAACATCTAACCACTTTCAAGTGATGCCAATAGTTTCTATCTTGTTCTACTTATAACATTTTCATTAGTCTTTTGCCTTTGTGTCCAAGTCAGATTACAAACCTCCACTAGATCAGTTATTTCTAATGTCACTTTGCTCCGGCATAGGTCCACAAGTATTTTAGGCGTAGCATTTAAGGATGATAATTGAGTCATGTCGTATCGGGTTTATATCAGATTATTACGAATTTATCTCAAATATTAGTCAATTCTAACTAACTCATTTAATTAATCGCGTCTTATCAAGTTGATCTATTTATTTTCGTATCGTATTCGTGTCCGTATTCATGTTATCCCACATAAACTTTTAATAAAAAATTTAACGTTAATATTATATTTTCACTTAATTAAATCTATGCTCATACTTTTTCTACGTACTAAAATTTTAACTTAATAAACATAATAATAATAATAATGAGGAAAAATATCTTTTTTTATATAATAATTATATCAGGGCTTCTAATTACAAATAATTAATATTTTTTTTGTATAATACTAGTTAAATATGTTAATTTCATATTATCATATAAATGAGAAAATAGAGAAAATTTTCATTCTTAAATAAACGGATTGATCGTGTCAATTTTGAGTTTAGCGTATTGAACCCGAACATGACTTGTTTATTTTTTCGTGTTCGTGTGTCGGGTCATTTCGAGTTCGTGTCGAGTTATAATTGAGTTCGTATCATAAAATTTATGTCGAATTTGAGTCATGTTGAGTTAAGAATTGCTACTCTTACTAACAGATAGGTCTGTCAATCGTGTCGTCTGGAACGAGTTTGTGTCGTGTCTTAAAAGATTCATATCAAAAAGTATTTCACTCGTACTCGATTCATTTATTAATTCATATCTGGTCGTGTCATATGTTGTTTGCGTCGTGTATCAATCGTATATAATCGATATATAAACGAGTCTTGTTATGTATTTATTTTGATTAACTCTACTCATACTCAATTCATTTATTAATCGTGTCGTGTTGATTACACTCGTTTACGAAACAGGTGTTCTAAAGAATACTCTAACCTTCTAACTTCGTCTAGTGTTCGTGTCGTGTTAAGGAATCATGTCATTGTTTAAATTAAATGACAACAATGTCACTCTATGATTATTCAAAGGAGAAGACATAAATGACATATGTTAATTTTTTTTCTTATTTATTATAAGATATTTAGACTTATGTCGACTATTCTTTTAAACTCAGCACATCGTATTAGTTTCAAGATTGTGCGCATTCATGCTTAAGTCCAAAACTTAAGTCGCAGTGTCACTCTCACTGATTATGCTTTGTGGATTTGATTCTTTTGGCCATATTGCATGGTGCCCTAATCCTTTCTAGAAACCATTATTCATATTGTAAAAAATACTAATAATAATTCTATGTAGTACATCCATGACTGAGTAGAATAAATAAAGTGGCCCCATCATGATGTGCCATTGTTGGCCATATGGAAAGAGTCAAATGGTGGGATTTTCCTAATTATGTATTTTAAGTCATGAGATGATAGTTACTCATGTACACACGTGCACATCATCAACAATAGTCTTTTTTGTTTGTTGCTGCCCATGGCAAACTTGTTGACATTAGCATGTTTACATCATGTGTTTTCAAAATTTTCTATATTTTTTTATTTCTATTATATTTATATTCATGCTTAATAAGAAAAAATCGTTTCAATCGCACATTATTTAGATTTGTTATTGTTATGAAAATTATACAATCACCTGCACAAGAATAAATATTCAATACAATAATTTCATATATCGTTAGTAAGACGAAGTATCACCGTCGTATGATAATGTTGTGTAGTACATATTTCAAGATAATACACCCCGATGATATTTTCATTTCATGAGTTATTTCCAACGGATTTCTATCTTTATGCTAGACTAACACATTCTCATTTTGTGCTTTAGTGGATGCATATGTTTCCATAGTCTTGAAAATACAATTAAGGACCTAGGATTTATTAGGGTAAGCCAAGATAAGAATGAATAAAATTAATGCCAAAGAGTAGTCTAAGTATAAACCCAAGGACGAGATGTATATTCTGAGTTCGAATATTGACAATCTCTTGAGATTATGCCATAAAAAATTTATTTATGATAAATATCTTAATTTGAGCGTAGATGACTTATTTTTAATTAAACAGAAGAGAAAATTAGTTAAATTATGTACAAACTGATCTGAACACCTCAAACGGTCCAAAAAAAAAAAGTTGAACTTTGCGGCTAACAAATCTATGCCGACGTTGAAATTTGTAAGAAAAATATGTCAATTAATATGGTTGAATTACAAGCCATCAAAATTGGAACTTAGCGGTCAAATATTGTGGCTTTTAAGAACTTTTCCAATTGTCCATTAGTTGATTTTTCTTCAACTACCATAACAGATGTATGGACTGTTTTTGTTGGGTAGAATCTCTCAATTAATTCTTCGTGTTGATTTTTTTATTTTTTTATGAGCATAGACATGTATAAATTGTGTTATTATGTAAATCATTTAATAAGTTCTTTATGTACCCATGTGTGACTACTATTGTGTTTTAATATTTTTCATACATTATTAACTTTTAAAAAATTAGATTTTTTATATTGTATTTTCAATGTATTAATAGTGTTGTAATGTTGTTCTCTGTTAGTTTCCGTTACTCATTTTGTCAACAAAAAAGAGGTAATTTTTGAAGGAATAAGTAACAAAAATTAACAGAAACACAACATTACAACACTTTTAATATATTGAAAGTTCAATATAAGAAATCTTAATCTCTAAGTGTATAAAGCGAAAAATCTTCAACCTTTTTAGATGTAAAGTGAGATTCCTCTGTCCTTTTATCCCGTCACGTTGAAGTTTATTGTGATAACAATAGTGCGATGAATCTCATGTTGCTTTAGGCAATTTGTTGCAAAATATATACTTTGGTAGACAAATTGCTGATATTTTTCACTAAAAAGCTTGCTTTCTTCTTGTTTTCTTATTCAATATGTATAACATAGCCTGGAACCTATCCTGACAAAGCTTACATTATCTTCAAATTGCATGTTCATTATCGTAAAAAGAACTAGTAAGCAAATACCTGTATTCCCAAAAATAAATGCAAACATTATTGGGGGGGTCCGCCCAATCCTATGTTTTTAGATACAAACAATTTAATAACAACTTAGCATAATTTATTGTTTCATCATCTGAAGGTTGTTCTGAAAGAAAGACAATCACATGAAACATTAAGCAACTTCAAGTAATGTCCTTGACTCTCGTGTAGTTATCAAGTAAAGTTTCATTCATGGAAGCAATACAGTTTGTTGTTTGGTTTTTGGTTTTTAGTGTTGTGGTAATGAACTGTCCTTTTGAATTAGTAGCTATGGCTTAAATCGGATTTTCCATAGTAGGGGAAATCCTTGTGGTTACGTCTAGGGGGAGTTACTACCTACTGGTCGCCCCTTCCCCTTTTTGATGCAAAAAAAAAAAAAGAAAAGATAATGTGATATGCTTAACTGTGACGGTAACACGAGGAAATTCTGGGAATATGTGTCCTAATTGGGCGTGTTATATTAATAATTCTAGATGTCACGATTGCAAGTCGGGAATTAAGTTGAGTACAACTATTTAGACTATTTTTTGAGCCAATTATATATTTCTGAGACTTAGACTCTTCTAAAAACAAAAGGTTTGTGCACTAAGTAGTAATTTTATTCTTCATAGTAGTATAACTGAAGAATATATATATATGTGACATTGTTTCTCTTTCAAATATACCCTTCCAATTGGTCTTTAATTAAATGGAGGGATGATAATGGGGTTAGTGGTGGAAGAATTCATATCCATTTGAAGTGCTAGGGCATGGGGCATCAAATGATTCACTTGCATACTTTGTCAACGACGAACCGTGGCCCAGCC